GAGACCGGAGCCATGGACCCAAATTTCGTAGCTCCGGTCTAGATTACAGACTTGCAGGATTTTATTGTTAGTAAATTTTGTCTTATATTATAATTTAGTTTTATCCAAATACTCCTTATGTTGGATGTCACTTAAGGTAGCATATCCACCCCATATAGAATATGAATAGAATATGTAGATATATATTCCTGATCTGCATGAAACATTCAGAATTTGATCTCTATCTCAAGTCATTCGAACTGCAATTTCACAAAGGGGCTCAGACAGATAATTAATTCATTTAATCAGGATTTTTATGGTTTACCGGATAAGTAGCCATTTTAGGATATTTTTTAATGAATCATCAATTTCATCATTTTGTGTTTGGTATATTACGGTACATTCTGGAAGTCAATCGGTATATTTTATCGATAAGTCCGCGGTCACACTGCAGAGTCCGAGTGCGTGCTTCATTTGCAATAAAAATAAAAAATATTTAGAAAATAGCCATGGATGACGAAGCTGAAACATATAAGCTGTGGCGCATTCGCAAGACAATCATGCAACTAAGTCACGATCGAGGGTATTTGGTGACGCAGGACGAATTGGACCAGACGCTGGAGCAGTTCAAAGACATGTTTGGTGACAAGCCAAGCGAAAAAAGGCCGGCCAGGTCCGATCTCATCGTACTGGTGGCCCACAACGATGATCCCACTGATCAGATGTTTGTGTTCTTCCCGGAGGAGCCGAAGATCGGCATCAAGACAATCAAAACCTATTGCACCCGTATGCAGGAAGAGAACATTCACCGAGCCATCGTTGTGGTACAGGGCGGCATGACACCCTCGGCCAAGCAGTCGCTCGTGGACATGGCCCCCAAGTACATTCTGGAACAGTTTCTCGAGTCTGAGCTGCTCATCAACATCACTGAGCACGAGCTGGTGCCGGAGCATGTGGTGATGACCGTTGAGGAGAAGCAGGAGCTGCTCAGTCGCTACAAGCTTAAGGAGAACATGTTGATGCGCATCCAGGCCGGCGATCCAGTGGCTCGCTACTTCGGTCTTAAGCGTGGTCAAGTTGTAAAGATCATCCGTTCGTCGGAGACAGCTGGTCGATATATCTCCTACCGCCTTGTCTGCTGAAAGGTCACGTCTCCTCGGGATGCCTAATTATACTTTAAATAAGTTTAATGTAATTTGTATTTCAAACATAAACAAACAAATTGTGTAATCCAAATTCAAAGGACAGGCGTTAATCCCCGGAGGATCTTTAGCGGTTTGTAGAGCTGGGCCTGGCCCTGGACATCTGACACTTCTGATGGCCCTTCTGTGGAACGAATGTTGTCATTCGAGCTTACTATTGATAATTCCATTACAGTGGATAACTCAAAGGAGGAGGAGGAACTCTCGAGCCAAAGCCCACCCACTTTCAGACCTTCAGGAGCTGAACTATCCCGCACCGTTCAGTCGGATTCGGAGCGGCAGGACGATCCATCAGCACCAGCAGCACTACAACCACTAGCACCACCATCTGCAGTGTCAGGGGCAATTTTCGCTTCGCATCCCGATGATGATTTTACGCACTTTGCCCTAGGCATTGCTTCGCAGCTGCGGAAGATACCCAATCCGGCCGCCGTCGCATGGGCCAAGGTGCGCATGCAGCAAGTTGTCTACTCCGCCGAGACCGGAGCCATGGACCCAAATTTCGTAGCTCCGGTCTAGATTACAGACTTGCAGGATTTTATTGTTAGTAAATTTTGTCTTATATTATAATTTAGTTTTATCCAAATACTCCTTATGTTGGATGTCACTTAAGGTAGCATATCCACCCCATATAGAATATGAATAGAATATGTAGATATATATTCCTGATCTGCATGAAACATTCAGAATTTGATCTCTATCTCAAGTCATTCGAACTGCAATTTCACAAAGGGGCTCAGACAGATAATTAATTCATTTAATCAGGATTTTTATGGTTTACCGGATAAGTAGCCATTTTAGGATATTTTTTAATGAATCATCAATTTCATCATTTTGTGTTTGGTATATTACGGTACATTCTGGAAGTCAATCGGTATATTTTATCGATAAGTCCGCGGTCACACTGCAGAGTCCGAGTGCGTGCTTCATTTGCAATAAAAATANCCAAAAATGGCGATGCCCTCTCTTACATATGTGTATAACACACATTCGCAGCGCAAGGAAACGTCAGTAAAGAACTTACCAGCACTCTTCGACTCCACTACGGACATTAGTACGAGCGAGGATGCCATAGAACAGGATGACAGCTTTGTAGAATCCATTGAGCAAATACCTGTGTCGTCGTCCACTCTCAATGCCTTCCGCACACAGAAGACTTCCAAGCCAATTTCCAGCGCACGACCATTGTCATTCGAGCTTACTATTGATAATTCCATTACAGTGGATAACTCCAAGGAGGAGGAGGACCTCTCGAGCCAAAGCCCACCCACTTTCAGACCTTCAGGAGCTGAACTATCCCGCACCGTTCAGTCGGATTCGGAACGGCAGGACGATCCATCAGCACCAGCAGCACTACAACCACTAGCACCACCACCACCACCATCTGCAGTGTCAGGGGCAATTTTCGCTTCGCATCCCGATGATGATTTTACGCACTTTGCCCTAGGCATTGCTTCGCAGCTGCGGAAGATACCCAATCCGGCCGCCGTCGCATGGGCCAAGGTGCGCATGCAGCAAGTTGTCTACTCCGCCGAGACCGGAGCCATGGACCCAAATTTCGTAGCTCCGGTCTAGATTACAGACTTGCAGGATTTTATTGTTAGTAAATTTTGTCTTATATTATAATTTAGTTTTATCCAAATACTCCTTATGTTGGATGTCACTTAAGGTAGCATATCCACCCCATATAGAATATGAATAGAATATGTAGATATATATTCCTGATCTGCATGAAACATTCAGAATTTGATCTCTATCTCAAGTCATTCGAACTGCAATTTCACAAAGGGGCTCAGACAGATAATTAATTCATTTAATCAGGATTTTTATGGTTTACCGGATAAGTAGCCATTTTAGGATATTTTTTAATGAATCATCAATTTCATCATTTTGTGTTTGGTATATTACGGTACATTCTGGAAGTCAATCGGTATATTTTATCGATAAGTCCGCGGTCACACTGCAGAGTCCGAGTGCGTGCTTCATTTGCAATAAAAATAAAAAAATATTTAGAAAATAGCCATGGATGACGAAGCTGAAACATATAAGCTGTGGCGCATTCGCAAGACAATCATGCAACTAAGTCACGATCGAGGGTATTTGGTGACGCAGGACGAATTGGACCAGACGCTGGAGCAGTTCAAAGACATGTTTGGTGACAAGCCAAGCGAAAAAAGGCCGGCCAGGTCCGATCTCATCGTACTGGTGGCCCACAACGATGATCCCACTGATCAGATGTTTGACAAGAAGGGCCTCCTCGGCTTCTAGCCGTAGTTCTGTTAGTTTTGGATAACGTGGGCATACGTCCTTCTCTTGTAAGTGGCTCGGTAGCAACACCATGTCCCGCCGTACTGTGGGAGCCGGTTCGTCAGCGAGCACCTGTACCGGGGGTTCATGTAAGACCTTGTCAAAGAGCTCAGACTCGACGAGTAGTTGTAGTGCGAGCACGAGCTGGTGCCGGAGCATGTGGTGATGACCGTTGAGGAGAAGCAGGAGCTGCTCAGTCGCTACAAGCTTAAGGAGAACATGTTGATGCGCATCCAGGCCGGCGATCCAGTGGCTCGCTACTTCGGTCTTAAGCGTGGTCAAGTTGTAAAGATCATCCGTTCGTCGGAGACAGCTGGTCGATATATCTCCTACCGCCTCGTCTGCTGAAAGGTCACGTCTCCTCGGGATGCCTAATTATACTTTAAATAAGTTTAATGTAATTTGTAATTCAAACACAAACAAATTGTGTAATCCAAATTCAAAGGACTGGCGTTAATCCCCGGAGGATCTTTAGCGGTTTGTAGAGCTGGGCCTGGCCCTGGACCTCTGACACTGCTGATGGCCCCTCTGTGGAACAAGAATATCTCTGGACATCGTCTTCTCCATTTGGTACGGCCTCGAGTATTGGAGCACGAAACTTTAAGATTTCTTTGAACGTGGACATCGCTCTAATGTACCTTCATCGCAGGTTCTTAGTACGTAGGCATGAACACCGAGGAAGGACGCCACGGTCAGAAAATGCAATAATAAAGACAAATCGAAAATGACTAAGTCAGTCGAATGTATAACGATTATTTACAAATGTATTTAAACGTTTATGTTATGGTTAAATTTTACAATATATTGAGATATCTTACTTGTAGACCAAACAATTTGGTGGTAGATGGGATAGATGCGGAATGGTATGAATAATTGATAAGATCCGGTGGAGACTCTGTTGGAGAGAAATTATATTGTTTAATTTATTTATAGCGGAAGAATTTATTTGGAAACAATTTTGATTGGTATTTTCAAAAGACAACATCGATAAGTTCAGCCTATCGCACAATAGTACCGGGTAATTTCGTTGAAACTACCCGGCACATTAGGAAGCAGCATCAAAAGTAATCTTTAAACATAAAACAACAGAAAATCAGTGGCAACTAGCTCAAAGTTCAGAAATGTTCATGAAATTATACTATTTCATAATGTATCCACCAAAATATCCATTTGGCAGTCCAAAAAAATATCACTCACAAATACATTGTTTTATGCTCGGATTATAATTTCCTCCATCACATTATATCCTCCACAAACTCCCTTCCTCTTCTCAAATCTCTTATACTAGCCTACCTCTCCCGCAGTTAGTTTCATTTTATTTTTGTCTTGTTTCTGATTTCGGGTATTTTGCTTGCTTAGTTCTAGTTGCTCTAGTTTAGTTGTGTTTAGCTCTAATTTTCCTCGAATATTAGCCTAACATCTATCTTTCCTGCATATGCGCGACCGGTTCGGTTAATCGCGCCGCGCGTCATGCGGCAGCGCCCCTCGGTCGGTTGAGCGGTAGGAGGGGGGCTGCGTTCTGCTGGGTTCCGCGCGTAACAGGCTTTGGCTTGGTGCCGCATGGGCCACTTAATGGTGCGGTCATTGCATATCAAAGTCCAGACATATGGCAGAACTTTTTATTGAAGAGTTTTAAGAACATGTTATTTTTTTAAAAACTTGCTCATCAAAATCTATGAAGAGACGGATAAGCTAAAAGTGCTCGATTAATCCTAAAACCTAACAAACCCGTATTTTTCCATTATATACGGATATATTTTAGGGACTGCGAGTGAGACCGGTTGTGTTTTTTGCTTAGCAGTACATTTTTGATTTTATTATACCCGGTACTCGAAGAGTAAATAGGGTATATTGTATTTGTGTGAATAACGGTTGTATGTAACGCACAGAAGGAAAAGTGTCCGACCCCATAAAGTATATATATTCTTCATCAGCATCAATAGCCGAGTCGATACATCCACTCGGCCTCTGCCTCTGCTGCCCCTCTGCCTCTGCCGACTTTTAACCCCCCCGGTCCCGCATCTTATATTTGGTTTTTTTTTGTGTGCGGCCGCTGCCTCTGCCTCTGCCGCGAGTCTGCGTGTATGGGTCTAGGGAAGGGCGGCGAGCTAAAGGAGCGGGTTGGTGTGAGAAGTGTTTTAGTTGTAGATGACAGATGAAGAAAACATTTAAAATTTGACAAAACACCGCCAAAGTGCAGATGTTGTCCTGAGTGCCGGGTATAGAAGTTGTGACGCGTAAGAAGCGTCTCACACGTCCCTTCACGTTTTATGATCGATCTATACATAACCAGTCAAGCTCGTTTGCAGGAAGTCCTTGCAAACCCAAACATGGTGGTGTAAAGAAGAAAACAATAGTGTTCATTCGGCAAGCAACTCTTTGTTAAGTTCAAAATTTTCAGTATTCTAAATTTCAACATAAAGTACCTGGTCAATGCGGACTCATCGTCTGTGACTAACCAATTTCGCTGTAGCGATTAAATTAAAAAAAAAACGTACATTGTAAGCGAATAATATATATCGATATATTGAAATACTACTTTCTATCAGCCCTATCTTGCATTTATTTGCCTTGTTCAAGAAAGCCAAGATTGTTAAATTTACCATAATTAGAACGTTTTAAAAAAAAAAATAACGCAGCAGAAATGCTGCTGCTGTTTAATTATAATGTAAGTATTGCATCAGAGTTTTTTCTTAAACAAAACCATCTACACACGCACACACACTCTACTCTAATTGTTTTCTGCGTTCTGACTGTGGAAATTTCATTTTTTTTTCTCGGTAGTTTTTTTTCTTTTTCTTTTTGCATTTTATGCACTGCTATTGCGCGTGTGTCTGTCTGGTAAAAGAGCGTTATATTAACAACATCGGCAAAGGTTTGTGCGGAAAACGGAGTGAAAAGGGCATAATGAAAAAAAAGAGTGCAATGCATCGGGTGAGACAGGGAGCGGAGCTGCTTTTGTTTTTGTTGCTGGGAAGAAAAAACAGACTTCTTCAGCACACGCACGCACACACTTGCATATTGGGTCGGTAGAAATCTTAGGAAATACCTCACAGAAATATAATTCCCAAGTGTTTCTAGAAATCGGGGTGCTCCGGAAGACACACACACACACATGCACAAACGCGTGCATACATGCATGCACGCGAAAGTGTAAATTTGATAGTGAAAAAGCCTTTTTCTGCTTTTTCTGCATTTGACATTTCGCTCAAACATGTTGCGTTTAAGCCTGTGTGCCTGTCCGGTCTGTGAGTGTTCTTGCGCGAGTGTGCGTTTGTGTGTGGGTCGGTGGGTGTGAGTGCTGTCAAAATTGATACAATTACAAATGCATTTTACTTTATGTCTATATCCTAACGCATCGAAAGTTCTTGTTAATGCGCGCGCGCTCTTGTGCCGATTTACCTTACGCGTTTTTGCTTCGTGTTTTGCTGCTGTTGTCAGTTGGAAATTTATTGTGCGTCCAATTGGCATGGCTGTGTGAGTGTGGTGGGGATGCAGCATTTCTGCTCATGTAGTGGGAGTCGCGTGTGCCGTTCCGTTTCGTTCCGTTCACAGCTGACAAGTGCAGTTACTTCGTCGACTGTGTTCCTTCCACAATTCCAGGAGCGCGTTCAGAACGTTTTTCCATTATTTTGATAGATATATATTCCGGCAGCGTTCAGCAAACATTTCGATTTGCAATCTCGTTCGCTCAGCTGCTAGGTGCAGTTACTGTTTTTCTGCTGCGTATCTGGTAGTGTGTGATGAACGCAACTCGATTTAGAGGAGAAAAAAAAAACATTTGCTCGCAGTTTGCATTTTTGTTTTCTATCAAACTTCGGTGATTATTCATTCATTTGTGGATATATGAATTATTTGTTTATTGACCAAATAATCCTTTTACAAATCTTTGAAAATATTTTCACGTTTCTCTTTTTGGTAAAATCTTGCAGTTTACTTATTAAATATGCTGACGATACATTTTGAGGCACATAGCCACACATAGACACATAGAAAAACCAACCAACCAACCGAGGCAACGCCACCCACACACACAAGGAGAGAGAGAAACAGGAGCAGGAGCGCAGGCAGGAGCTGCCGGAGCGGCGAGGCGCGGCGATTCCCGCCCGAGCCATCGACTTCGCCATGAAGGTGGATACGGTAAAGCTGAAGAAGGGCTCTTCGGAGCTGACTTCGGAGTGCCGCGAACTGATCGATGAGCTCACAAAGCGTCGCACACGCTCCGAACTGCTCGAGTTTCTCGACAAAATCCATGTATGGATCTACGGCAAGTGCGAGCTCTATCACTGGATCGAGATACTCGATCGTTTCGACAAAATACTGGATGAGGCAGCCAGACATGTGAATTCCAATGAATTTGTGCTCCAATGCGACACACAATTCCACTCAACGGTAGGTCCCACGGTAGGTTTTTCTCCCCTCAGCAAAACAGACATCAGAGCACGCATACTCATGGACAATTTTAATTATTATTTCTTCCTTTTCCGATGGATGAATCACACCATACAGGATGTAACATTGCTGCTGCATGTGCTGAACTTTACGACACTCTTGATCGAGCATTCGTTCTCGAGGCATCTGTACAACTCCATTGAGCATCTGACACAGCTGCTCTCCTCACAGAACATGGACATTGTCCTGGCGGTACTCAATCTGTTGTATATGTTCTCGAAGCGCAGCAACTTTATACCACGTCTGCCCTTTGAAAAGAAGGAACTTCTGATTGTGAAACTCTTTAACATTGCAGAGGTAAGAGATCAACAAGATAGCCATAGCTACATCCACTCTGAACCATTTGAATTTTTACAGCGCTGGGGCGATCCAAACTATGGCCTCTCGCTCAAGGACTGCTGCATTGGCGAGCCAAAGCTGGAGTTTCTCTATCAGCTGTGCATCGACTATGTGGATGAGCATGGACATGCTGCACAGCTGGAAATCCCTGACATGATGGACCTCTGCCACACGGCATCGGCACCAGACGTGATCAAAACGATTGCCGGACAGATCTCAAAGCCCAGTGAGGCAATAAAGGTGCGTCTCTACCACTTAATATCTTCTCGTTTTCGCACTCTTTATACACACTCTCCTTTCTCATGTAGATGCGCATTGCTCATCGTGTGCGTCTTATTTCTGGCTTCAACAACTACAAGCTGCGCCTGCAGTTTGTCCAGGCCCGCCTGCAGGCGGTCTCAATTTTGATTTACTCAAATGCCCTGCAGGACAACACAGACAAGGTTCTGTATCCCGGCTTTGGGGAAGAGCTATGCGAGCTGATCGACAAGGAGGATGTGATCCTGGTGGAGATACGCGCCGCCGTTCTGCGCACCCTCACATCCATGCTACACTTTGATCGCAATCCAAATGTGCCCAGGTGCGTTGCTGCAACAGAATGATTGCTCCCCCAGCCCGAAAGATTTTCCCATAATTTATTGATTGTTTCTTCTCCTTCTTTCTTGTTTTTTTGTGTGTGTGTGTGTGTGTGTGTGTGCTCCTCGCACTTTTTGCTTTTTTCGTGTTTCCCTGCAGCAGGGCCGGATCGCGGCTAATGAAGATTGTGCATTACACAGGCGCCGAGCGGCAGGGCGGCACATTGCCACTGCTGGTGCGCGATTGCATTAATAATCTGACAACACATGGCCTCACGGAGCGATATCCATTGATACTGGCCACATCGCTGTTCTCGCTGCTGTACCATTTGGCCAGCTATGAGCTTGGGGGATCTGCCCTCGTCAAGAGCGGCATGATGCAGTCGCTGCTGTGCGTAATCAGTTGGCCCGGCGTTGATCTGGAGCACATCACATTTGTGACACGCGCCGTGCGTGTGATTGATCTGATCACAAACATTGACATTGCCCGATTCCATCAGAATAATGGACTGAATGTGTTCATCGATCGACTGGAGAAGGAGATTAAGAGCTGCTGCAAGGCCCTGGCGGATATTGGCATCACACTGAAAGAGTCCACCCTTAGGGATGAGAGTAAACTGGATATGTCACTCGATCTAGTCGATATCGAAGGTAGCAATCAAACCCAACATAAGCCACAGAAGGAATTTCTCTTTCACAAACACTATTTTTCTCTCTGTCTTTTAGATGGAAGTGGCTCCTCCCCGCATCGTGACACATCCGATGATCAACTCGGAGGCATCCATCTCGATGATGAAGATGAGGAGCCTCCAGCGGGCAGCTTCAGCAGTGATCCTGGCGACCAAGGGCGCTCTGTGATCGCCATGTATCCATTGAATAGTTACTATGCCCGTCCTCTGGCCGAACGTAAGGCCGAACTGTCGCAGGCACAGCTGCCCCCGAGCAGTGTTCAGCCGAAGAAGCCCTCGTGCGTCACACAGCGTGCGGCGCTGCTCAAATCGATGCTGAACTTCCTGAAGAAGAGCATCCAGGATCATGCGCACTTCAGCAACATGCGCAACATCATGGAGACGAGCCTCACACAGTCGCTGCGGCACATCATCGCCAATGCCGAGTACTATGGCCCCTCGCTGTTCCTTTTGGCCACCGATGTGGTCACCGTGTACGTATTCAATGAGCCGTCGCTGCTCTCCTCCCTTCAGGATCTGGGCATCACCAGCGTTATGCTAAAGGCCCTACTCCAAAAGGATGTCCCAGCCACACGCGAAGTTCTTGGCTCCCTGCCCAATGTCTTTTCGGCTCTATGCCTGAATGAGCGCGGCCTGTTCGAGTTCCTCTCGTATGATCCGTTCGACAAGGTGCTCAAGGTACTACTCTCCCCGGACTATCTCGTGGCGATGCGCAGGCGCCGCTCCTCGGATCCACTTGGGGATACGGCCACCAATTTGGGCAATGCCATGGACGATCTCATTAAACATCATCCGTATCTGAGGGCCGATGCCACCGAGGCGATTGTGCGGCTGCTCAGAGAACTGGTGCGCCTTGGCTCCGATCCCAGCTTCATTTGCTGGCGTGCCAACAAAGAGAGCAGCGGCTCGGGCAGCGGTTCACATGGCTCGGGCTCCCATGGCGTTCTACCCTCGGTGACGGCCTCACCCATGGTGATGGTGGCGGGCGCAGGCGGCACAGCCTCTGTGCTGCAGAGTGCGGCCAATGATAATAACGACAGCAGCGGAGATGATGACGATGACGATGATGAGATGAGCTCCGCCTCGCAGCAACAGCAGCAGCCACCACCAGGAACGGTAGGAGGAGGCGGCGTCGTTGTTGTTGCCTCCACATCACGTGGCGCTGCCTCGCTGGCAGCAGGTACCGCGGGAGCTGGCATACCAGGAGGATGCCTCACCGTTGCCACCACTTCATCATCCTCCTCCTCGTCGTCGTCGTCGGCTCTGGCGCGAGCCTCGGTGTCGCCGCCAGAGCGTGAGGCCATACCCCTGATCGATTACATCCTCAACGTAATGAAATTCATCGAAGCGATCTTCAGCAACAGCGACCATTGCCGCGAGTTTGTGCTGCAGGGCGGACTCAGGCCCATTCTGCAGCTGCTGTCGCTGCCCAATTTGCCCGTGGATTCGCCGGTGTCCACCACCTCGCAGGCTGTGGCGAATGTCTGCAAGGCGATACTAAGCCAGGCGCAGGAGACAAAGGTGCTCGATGTGGCCCTCAAGCAACTGGCGGACATTGTGGGTAAGCTGAAGCCCCTCATCAAGCACTTTACCTTCCCTGGTGGCAGTGTCCTGCTGGCGGAGTTGGTCTGCTGCCAACGGCTGGAGGATGGCTTTGCCAATGCCGAATACACACCGATCCTGCACAACATGAGCTTTGTGCATGGCTATGTGGTGATGCTGGTGCATCTGTGCCGCAATGCCTCCACGGATATGCGAGCCATTCTTCTCAAGCGTTGGGGCGTCAATCGTGAGACTGGCGTCAAGCTGCTGCAGCAGCTCGTCCAGCTGTACATTTCGCTGGTGTGGGAGAGTACCATACTGCTGAACCTCTGCTCCGATGAGCCCACACAGCATCCGGATCTGATCTGGGATGAGATTGCCGCCCAAATGTCCGCAGCCGCTGGCACCGCCGATCCCATGACCGAAGCAGATCTCTCGAGGAAGCTGGAGCGTGCCGCAGAGTTTCGCACAAAGTATACTCCCGAGGAGCAGTTCCGGTATATCAAGAGCCTGCTGGCGGCCAGCTCACGGCTGGGCCGTGCCCTCGCCGAGCTGCTTGGCACGCTCGTCAAGCTATCGGTGGGCTCCCCACAGACGCGCCAGCGCCGAATCAACGATCTGATCAGTAATATCAACAAAGTTCCTACACCGGAGGCGCGGGAGATAGCGCGCATATTGAGCTCCATTCTGGTAAATGGATTCAGCCACGAGAGCATCCTGCCCAAGCCCGTGCCCAAGCTGAAGCTGACGTTCCTCATCTGCTCGGTGGGATTCACCGGTCCTATGCTGTTCGACGACAAACGCTCCGCGTTTCATCTAATGATCTCGCAGTTCTGCGCCGAGAACGGCCTCAAGGCGTTCTTCGAGATGTTCTACTGGGCGCTGTCCCTGGACGCGGAGTCAAAGAAGTTCGAGTTCAAGCAGTGGGCATCCATGGAGGATCTGATGCAGTCGCATGAGGATGATAAGCGTGACTGCCCGGAGGGTACCGGAGAGTTTCTCGATGCCTGGCTGCAGCTGCTCGAGAAGATGGTCAATCCACGTGCAATGCTAGACTCGCCCTACACGATGAGTCCGCGCCTCAACTACATGCCCGACACGGTGCCCTTTGAGCCGGTGTTCTATCTGATACACATCCATCAGCTGGCCATGCAGGCACTGCGTCGGATCTGGGCACGACGACCCATTGCCAACTATGGTGCCAGCATGTTCGAGACAATGATTCTGATTGTCAAGCATCTGGTGAAGTCACATGCCACGCTCCTGGAGCGCTATCACACACGCCTGAAGGAGATCAAGTTCGAGAATCTTTACATACGCAGCACGGACGATGGCCTGAATGTGGAGCATATCAAGAGACTGACGGACATGGGATTCACGCACTATCATGTGGTGGATGCGCTGCGCAACAATGGCACCCTGGAGGAGGCCACCGACTATCTGCTGAACAACCCAGAGGCGAGTGCTCACTCCTCGCATGCCGCCACGACCAGTGCTGGTGCGAGTGGTGCAGCCACAGCGCCCACACCGCCGCCCACAGCGATGGAGATAGGACTCGATGGCACCGGTATGGAGGGTGGCGAGTCATCGGGCGGCGGCTCGGGCTCCACCATCAGCCTGGGACCCACACCGACGCCCACATTCAGCCAGTACAAATCGGGCGGTAACCCATCCAGCTATGACTACAAACACCTGAAGCTGATGCCGCCAATGATCTTTGATCGTTTTTGTGACGAGGCCATTGGCAGAGCCTTCGAGTTCATGGAGGCCATACCGGATGTGGTGAACAGTGCCTCGGATCTCATTGCCGTGCTCTACAGGCGCCACAATCACCTCAACAAGCAGGTCTTTGTCACGAACTTTGTGCGCAATGTTATCCAGTGGGTGGACTTTACGCTGCAGCTCTTTGAGAATCCACGCCAGCCGGGCGCCACCTGCCGCGGCACACGTCTCGAGGAATGCCTCACGGGCATGACGGCAACGCGGCTGTTTGTGCGACTGAAGACCTCAACGCTGCTGTTGGATGAGAACTTTAGCGACATGCATCGACCTTTGGTGGAGGCCATCAATGCCCAGGATGCGATGGTGTCGCTCGTCAAGCTGCTCGACAACATGGCCCAGTGGATGATGGAGCAGTCTGAGAAGCCACAAGCGGAGCGCATAACCGTGCCACGCTGGGTGCAGAATCTGGTCGATCTGATTGATGCCATCGACAGCATCAGTCACATTTTGCAGCGCAAGTCCAATATGCGTGCGGTGTGCAGTGATGTGTGGCGCTGGTACGATGCATCCACTGGCAAGTGGAATGCCTACTCGGAGGCCAACAATGAGCTCATACGGAATGCCTACAATTCGGGCGAACGCTGGCTGCACATCAACATAGGGCGGCAGCGCTGCACCGTCTCCTTCAATTGCATGACGCAGGTGAGCGAGGCATCTGGCAGCCATCGTCCGGTCTTCCCTGCCCTCAAGCTGAGCGAGGCCATTTCGAATTTAAACAATCCCGTGGCCGTCACGAAGGTGGAGCATCTGCTGAATCGTGTGATACGCACAGCACCCGATGGCCAGGGCACAACCCACACGGACGAATTAATTTCATTGCGACACTTGATGACATTCGGCGATGGCCAACAGACGCCAACAATGGTGCAGCCACCAGCAGCGGCAACAGCAGCAGCTGCGGCGGCGGCAACGACGGGAACCAGCGATGAGACCTCTAATGAGTCAACGAGTGGCGGGGCTCGTGCCAGAGCACGTTCCCCACCCGCACCCATGACAACACGCAGCAAATCGAGACAGAGGAATGCCGCTGCGGCAGCAGCAGCCAAGGCAAAGACATCAAAAACAGCCGCAGCAACAGCGGCAGCGGCGGCGGCTCCGGCAGCAGCTGCAACACCAACGATACCCAAACGCACCCAGCGGATCCTGCTGAGCGAGGAGAATGTGGGTTTGAGCAAATTCGATTGCGCACGGATCATTGGCAGCATTGTGTCGCTGCTGCAGCCACCGATATTGCTGCAACACGAGACGAAGCTGTCGCTTTTGCGCCTCTGTGCACGTCTCACGCGCAACTACGAGAATGCCCAGACATTCATACGTCGCGGCGGTGTCAAGATGCTGCTGCAGCTGCAGCAGTCGTGCAGCTTCATGGGTTTCCCCACCTATGCGATAATCATTCTGCGGCACGTGCTGGAGGCACCGCCAGTCCTACAGGAGGCCATGGAGCGTGTGCTGGGCATGCGTGCCGCTGGCATAGTGCCCGTGGGACAACGCGATTTGATCTTTGTCCTCACCCAAGTCTCGACGGCTGTGTCGCGCAATCCGCAAATATTTGTGGCCGCCGCCAAGGAGATGCTGCGCGGCGAATATCTCATGAATTCGAACAGCTCCAGCGGCAATGCCCTGGCGGACGATGCACGCGTGATGGTCAAGTCAAAGTTTGGCCAACAGCCGACAGCAGCCGCCGGGGGACCCAATCCACAGACACCGCCACCCGCACCCGTCAAGGAGGAGATGTGGGAGGATCCGATGGTGCAGTCGGCCGTCGCTGTGCTCAAGGAGCTGCTGCTGGCGCTGGTGCAGCCGTGCTGCCACTACAGCATTGCCGTACCCACAAACGATCATCCTAAGGCAGCGGCGGAGTTGCCGCAAACCGAGCATCCGGGCAGCACACAGTTCGGTGCTATGGAAGAGGATGAACCAACGCAGCAGCCGCAGGCAGCGGCCAACCAGCCACAAGCAGCGACAAGCAGCAACACCAAGAAAGGAGGAGCAGCAGCAGCTACTGCTGCTGGCACAGCGGGTCCCACGGGGGATGGCAAATATGAGCCCTGCTGCTGCACGTGGCATGTGCCCACCGCTGTGCACACCCACTCAAAGCCGACACTATCGCGAGCGACGCTGCTGAAGTTGCTGGCAGATGCCACACGCGCCTACCAGTCGCTGCTGCCGCGTGTCCTACTGGGTCATGTGTACACACCCGCAGACAGTCCGCTGATACAGGAACCACAAATGACATTCATGGCCGTGCTGCTGGATCGCTTTCTGCCCATCACAAAGCGCCACCATGTGCCCGAGGTGAGCACCATGGCCCGCGTGCTCATTTCCTCGCTCTCTGACTGCTATCAGATGCCCGGCGTGCAGGTGCAAGTGGCCGAGGAGCTGCATGCGGCTGTCGCCAGGGCCCTGGCCCAGCCAGACTCATCGGAGAAGCACACACGGCTGCAGGTGCTGATGAGCCTCTTTCCGAACCTCATCGAGTCGCCGATGCTCTTCGATAAGGTGCACATGCACCGGAATAGCATGTACCGCGTCCTGTTGCGGCAGGGCGTCATGACGTACCTCACGAAGATTGCCCAGTACAAGGATCTGTCGAACCACAACACGCTCTGCACTCTGGCCTCCATTCTGCGGCCCATGGAGATTCTGCTGCGCTTCAGCGTCTCCACGACGACCCTCAACTCCAAGCGGATACTCTTTGGTGATGCCAGCGCTGGCGGAGCGGGAGGCACGGGCGCCGGTGGCACTGGTGCCGGCAACAATGCCTCTGGCACGGGCATTGGATCGTTCTCTATGTCCTCCCTGGGTGGCGGAGGTGGCGGCGGCGGTAATAGCGTGAACAACACCTATGGCGCCATCATCAATCGCCGCCTATATCCTCGCCTGGCTGCACGCACGGCCGCCGGAGCGGCTGTCGAGCGATCGAATGGCATGGGCGGAGAGCATGTCCTGCGGGACATCATCCGCAACGTGCTCTCGGACAGACGGCACGCCTTTGAGTTTATCTTCAACTCGGACGAAATGGCTGTGGATCCAGAGGATGCGCCACCGCCAGCAGGCGGCGGAGTAGGATCAGGAGCAGCTGGCTCGGGCGCCGGACCCGGAGCTGGCCTCGGCCTTGGACTGGGTCTCGGTCTCGGATCGAGCAGCAGCAGCACCAGCGCCGCCGCTGCCTCCGTCATTGATGTGGTCGGAGAGCGCAACAGCAGCAGCAGCGGCGGAGGCGGCGGCATCGGCATCGGTGGAGAAGCCAACGATGGACCATCGGGATCGGCAGGCGCTGCAGGTGGCTCCTCATCCGGTGGACCCGTTCGTCCCGTCCTCAACTTTGATCAGCTCTGGGATGACTTTCTGCAGAGCGAAGGACTGCGTCTGGCCTCGCGCGCAGGCGGCACAGGCGGAGGGAGCAGCGGAAGCGGCGGAAGCTCCTCGCAGCAACACGCACAGAACGGTGGCACATCGAGTGCAACAAGTGGCACTGGCGCCGGCTCCGGCTCTGGCAGCTCCCTCAATGTGGATCCGCGACTGCGCAACTCCCAGCCCGATGGGCATCTCGCACAGGATGGGCCCAACGCCAGCAGCAGTGGCGGCGGCAGCGGCAGTGGCAGTGGCGGCAATGACAACGGCCTGGGCGGTGGCAACAGCGATGGCGCCTCCACCTCATCCGATACGGGCGCCCGGGAGAATCGTCGCGAGATGAATGCCTCCATGGTGGGCGATGCCAGCAGCTCGGACTCAGATTCGGATGGCTCCTCGGAGAACGATGAGCGAAACGATGATGAGGATGACGACGAGGATGATGCACCCGACGAGGATGCGGATGAGCACAGCGAGACGGATGTCGATGAGGAGCGTCCGCGACAATTTATCGAGGTATTCGATCACATCTATGAGCCAGAGTCCTCGGAGACGGCCTCCAATGATGCCGATGTCGATGCCGACGATGATGATGATGACGATGATGAGGATGTCGATGATGATGACGCGGATGACGATGACGATGATGAGGATCGTGCCGCCGGCATCGATGATCCTGAACTTGAGAACCAAATCGTCGACATTGCCCTGGCCCTGAGGAACTCCAATAATCGACCAAGACGCAGTGCCGCCATCACGGCATCCGGCGAACCAGTGCCCGATGATACCTTGCCCGATGACGACGATGATGATGAAGATGTCGATGATGATGACGATGATTCGGCCGTCAATGAGGCAGCAAGTCGCGCCGAAGCCTTCCTCTTCGAGCGTCTCGTTGTGGATAATCCCCTGCTGATGCCCCAACCGCCGACCAGCTTCCGGGTGCGCATGAACAGCTCCATTGCCCAGCCCCTGGACATTGATGTGAACGGAGGAGATGGTGGTGGAGGGAATGTCAGTGGTGGTGCAAGTGGTTCCAGTGGTGCCGCAGGAGGACCCGCTGCAGGCTCATCCTCAGCCAGAGGCGGCTCTAACGTAAGTGCAGCCGGTGGCAGCAGCAGCGGGGGCGAACGCCCAGTGGCCTCTGCCCTGCGTCCCTCATCGCGTTCCTGGATTGCACCGGACTTTAGCTTCATTAGCGCCTCAGGAGGAGTACCCCAGGGTGCGAGCGGCAGCAATGCCCCAGCCAATGGAAACGAGGGAGCAGTCAACGGCGCAGGAGGCGGTGGCTTCCACACACCCAGCGGAGGAGGAGGAGCGCCGACAGCAGCAACCGCTTCGAACAACCAAAACCAGAACATGAGCAATCTCCTGGACGAACAGGTGTCCGGTGGTGGCACTGGCGGCAATGGAGGAGCAACCGCTGCCAGCGGAGGCCATCAGAGCGGCTCCGGTGGCGGTGGCTCCGGCTCCTCCACTCTGTGCAACAATGGTGTGCGCCGCCGCTTAATGTACTTGGATCAGCAGTACTGCGTGTGCATGCCCACGCACCAGAACCCGACGGAGGAGACACAGATCGAGATATTTACACAGGATGCGCTCCACTGGTGGCTGGAGGAGGCCAAGGCCTTGGACATGGAGAGCCAGACGGATGCCTGCCTGTATGCGGCGCACTTCTTGCTCCCGTATCTCATACGTGAACTAAAGGCGGCACATCATCAGCGCAAGCAGGAGGAGGCTGCACGACAGGCGGCCCTGGCAGCCGCTGCAGCAGCCACGACAGCCACAACCATAGCAACGCCAACGGCCACAACGCCAACGGCGACACCGATACCGATACCCACACCGACATTTACGAGTGCCACAGCGACAGTGACATCTGCTGCTGCAGCAGCCACAGGAGCAGCCAGTGCAGTTAGCAACAATCGTCGCAGCTCTATACCCGTACTGATTCCCATGCTAATACCCTCATCATTGGCGCCAGCAATGGCCGCTCGTGGTGCAAACCCTGATGGCACATCCGCCACCAGCAGCAGCAGCAGCACAACAACAACCGCAACGACTGCAGCTGTCACTGTGGCCCCAACAGCAGCCATAGCGGCGGCGCCCACTGTGGCCACTTCTGTCAATCCAGCTGAAGGTGAGCCGTTTACCACAACAGCACGTTCGCGGCCGCTGCGTGCACCAACACGTACTGCCGCACAGCGTCGCCAGGAGCAACGTTCAATGAACTTCAACATTTATGCAGAAATTGATTTGACCAACGAACCGGATATCGATGATGATGATAATGATACAATGACGGCAGGCACAAACGCATTAGCCACCGCTTTGGCACAAAACCTGCAGAATGTGGCACCAGAACCACCAACGGAATTGTTTGAACCAGAAGAGGTGCAGGTGCAGGAGCAGGTACAGGAGCAGGCACAGCCGCAGTTACATGAACAGGCCGAACCATTGGCGCCACCACGTCATCCGCCAGTCCCACATTTGCCAGCCAGTGGCAGTGGCAGGCCACGGCGTGTCCATATGCGCGTACAGAATATAAATATATTCAATGAATTTGGACAGGTAAAGTAGAGCCTGTCGCTTCCCTTCCCAAGCCTTTCTCTAACGTTTCTCTTGCAGAGTGCACCACGTGTGCTTAATGGACGCACGCATCGCTTGATGTACGGCCAGCAACGACTGCACCACGCGGGACGTGGCCCGGCGCCACCACCACCACCGCCGCCACCATTGGCCCCGGCACCGGCCTCAGTACTTGATTTCTATCCAGCAGCTGGAGCAGCGGCCGCCGATCAGTCGATCAATGTGGAACTGGATTTGGAGCCATCACCATTGGTTCCCACCGATCAGGATCTTGGGCTGGAGGCGGATGAAGTGAATCTATTGTGGTCTGGCGCCTTTGATGGCCAAGAGGCGGCACAGCCCCAGCAGCAGGGAGAAGAACAACAGCAGCATCAGCAGGAGGAGGAGGATGAAAACGAAGCCGAGGAGTCAGTCCAGAGCATCAGCAACCGCCCAGGACCACCGCCACCACCACCGACGCAGCCCAATGATAGCACAATTCAGCCACCCATTCAGGTGGCCATCACCGATGAGCCGCTATGGGGAGCGGCCACACTCAGCCGTCCCCCCCGTCCGACCACAGCACATCCGCAGCACCAGCAGCGAACTTCTGCCACCTCTGGTGGTCGCAGTGGGAATTCCTATTTGGGATCGTCTCCCACTAATGCCGGAGCAGGAGTAGGTGTAGCTGCCTCATTGACAGCCTCTGCTGGCGGTGCTCCAACCACAGCTGAAACTACAGCCGCTGCCAGCACAGAGGACGGAGCAGCTGCTGCTGCAAGTGGCTCTGGAACCGCAACACGAACCGTCACAGACATGAGTCCCGAAGTGCGTGCCGCTCTGGGTGATCTAGAGGTGCCAGAGGGCGTCGATCCCTCATTTTTGGCAGCACTGCCCAGTGAGATGCGCGAGGAAGTGATCCAGGAGCATTTGCGCATGCAGCGCATACGCCAGCGGGCCCAACAGAATGCCATCCAAATTGCACACGATTCGCTGGTGGAAGTGAATCCCGAATTTCTGGCCGCTCTACCGCTCAGCATACAGTCGGAGGTGCTCATGCAGCAGCGCATCGAACAGCAGCGACAAGCAGCACAGACAGCCAATCCCGAGGATCCTGTGGATACGGCTGCATTTTTCCAGAATTTACCCGAAAATCTGCGTCAAGTGGTGAGTGGTGTGGAGTGGAGTCTCCCCCTGCCCACACTCTATTTATACCCGTTACTCCAAGAGTAAATAGGGTATATTGTATTTGTGCACAAAGTGAATGTATGTAACACACAGAAGGAAACGTTTCCGACCCCATAAAGTATATATATTCTTGATCAGCATCAATAGCCGAGTCGATTGAGCCATGTCTGTCTGTCCGTCAGTCTTGTTGAGCGCCTGGATCTCACACTGTTACAAGTGTATTTCAAAAATGGGCCACGCCCCGTTCCGCCCCGCCAAAATTTTGAAGATAAAATAAAACTAAAATCGCCGTTCGGTAGGGAATGGCCATATCTATCAGATCACCAAATTGGATCCGATTGGATCATTATTATAGCCAGAATGAAAAAATTAATTTGCAGTGGCTAAACCCGCCCTGTCCCGCAGCTTTTGTTTTTTTTCACATTCTCTAATTCACACTCTGCTTCTGCTTCACTCGGCCTCTGCCGACTTTTAACCCACCCCGTCCAGCAGCTTATATTTGTTTTTTTTTGTGTGCGGGCGCTGCCTCCGCCGCGAGTCTGCGTGTGTGGGTCTAGGGAAGGGCGGCGAGCTAAAGGAGCGTGTTGGTGTGAGAAGTGTTGTAGATGATGACAGATGAAGAAAAAATTTAAAATTTGACAAAACACCGCTAAGGTGCAGATGTAGTATTGAGTGCCGGGTATGAAAGTTGTGACGCGTAAGAAGCGTCTCACGCGTCCCTTCTCGTTTGCGGCTAATTTCTCGTCCATCTCTTCTCTTTATTAGATACTCTCGGACATGGAGGAGTCACAGATTGCAAGCCTGCCGCCAGAGCTGGCCGCCGAAGCACAGTTCCTACGCCGCGACTGGGAGACACGCAATGGCCCACGCCTAGGGGATGTCCATCCCCCCAGCAATGCGCTATGTAAGTACAATATTTATTGAAACCCATTGAGAGCAGCATACATTACCATTATTTAACGGATATGTCAATCCCTTGCTAGTGGTTTAGCATTATATTTTTTTTGTCACATTATCTTGCTGATTCCATGGAAGATTAGTGGCAAATATTATTAAACAGAGTAGGCTTTTAGTAGAGCTCTCCTTTTCTCTATTTCTCTATCATACACAGATAACCGAAACGATTCGGTGGGGTATTCGAAATTTGCTTCAGCCGATCTGCTGAGTTCATGTTATTGTACTTTGTCGGATCTGGCATATGCACATACTGACTGTGTGGGCATACAAGTTGTGACGCGCACAAAGCTTCTCACAAGCGTTCTTCCTCGTTTTTTCTCACTCGTTTCCCCAATTGATTGCCTGGACGAGAGAGAACGAAATGACTGATTTTTAGTTGTTCTCCAACAGACTGTCAATGTACAAGTAAATCAAATTGCAGCATGCGAACTCCGCCGTGGCAAGTTTTGAGGCTCTCAGAGTAATTCAAATGAAACTTGAATTGCAGAACTTGCAGATGCAGAACTCTTAATAGAAATAAAACTAACTATACAGAAATAACGCTCTTGACTGGACCCAATAGATTCTTTTACTGATTGCCAAAGCCTAAACAAGAGATCTGCCAAAGCATTCATTTATTTGCTTCTCACATCTATTCCAATTTATATGCAACTTCTTTTCTTTCGCACCCCCACAGCCCGTTTCCAGAACACACTGCAAAGCCTGGAGGAGGCACGCTGGCACAGTTCCATTTGGTATGATGCCAGCGGCAATGCACAGCCGCAGCATCATCAGCACACGACCATTGTGCACCATCATCATCATTCGCCGAATGTGTGCAAACCATTGGCACTGCTCATGATGGAGGATGAGAACATTCTACTCGATCCGGACTCCCTGGCCACGCTGCTGCTGTTCCTGTTCGTGGAGGATCAGAAGGTGAACAGCATGCGGCTGCATCGCGTCATCCGTAATCTGTGCCACCATGAGCCAACGCGCGACTGGATCATCAATGCCCTGATCAATATTGTACAGAAAACGAACGAGGAGAGTGCCAACTTTGGGGCGGGACAAGGACAAGGACAGGGTAGCAAGCCCGATTGGCTGAAGCTGCGCGTGGATGCAGCCTTTGGCTACAAGAGCAACATCTTTTTGATCAACCGCCTGAACGATGATGGCAGCGGCAGCAGTGCCAAGAGCATTAGCATCAATCCGCAGGCAGCCCAAATGATTGTCCGCAACTGTTTGGACCTGCTGTTCGTTCTGGCCAAGCACTATCCGTCCAGCTTTGTGCCGTATCATCGCGAGACCAAGACCCGTCGCATGCTCAGCGCTGTGTTCGGTATGCCGCCACCCGTTCCGGGTGCACGCGCCGAGGAACAGCAGCAGCAGCAGCCCCCACCCGCTGGCGGCACTCTCGACTTTCGTTCGCGCTTCTATCGCTACCAGGTGGCCAATCGGATGCGTGCAATGCTCGAGGATCACCCGCGAATGCTGGCACCACCCACACCGCCTCCACCAGTCCAGGCCGCAGTCACAGCGACGCCTCTGGATGAGACTCCATCCACATCGAAAGCGGCTGCCGCCAAGGCAGCCAAGGCTGCCACAACGACTGACAGCAATAGCTACCAGACGAATTCGTACAACTTCTGGGATGTGGTCCTGAACATTGATCGCCAGACGGAGGAGCGCATGAAGCATGTGTCAAAGTTCCCCATCGTCTCGCAGCCGTCCTGGGAGTGGGTAGCCAAAACGGGAGACTTTCTCGCGTTCAGCGACTCGCCGTTCGGCCAACTACTGGCCATGCTGCCGTACAAGGTGATCTGTCGGTCGCCACATCTGACGGACATGCTCGTGAAGCTGCTGGCCTCTCTCAGCACAGAGCTGCCCAAGGAGGAGGAGCTGGGGCCAGTGATTGAGCCGCAAATGCCAACGCTGATACCCATGAATCAGGCGGTGCTCAATCAGCAGGCGCAACAGAATCAGGAAATGTCACAGGCAGCAGCCGCCTTGACCGGCGAAACGCACACCACCCGTCCCCTGCCCGAGCTCAAGAAGATGCCGCCACCGCCCCCACTGACCCTACAGCTGCCCATCAAGCCGAAGCGCAAGATCTACGCAAAGAACTTCTCGCAGCTGCAGTTGGTCATCGAAGTCTTGACGCATCAGTGCGGCACCACCGAGGGCCTGGACAATGTGGCCAAGCTGATTGTCAATCTCACGCAGTGCTCACAGGCATCGAATGCCATTTTCATTCAGTACTTGACCGCCGCCATTCTGGGACTCGCCGAGGAGGTGCGCCAGGCCATACAGACGCTGCTCCAGGAGATACGAGCGTATAACAGCAATGCGGGATTGCCGAGCACCTCGCAACAGGCGGCGGCGGCAGCAGCTGCGGCATCAGCAGCTGCAGCAGCAGCGGCGGCAGTAGCAGCCGCGTCTGGACCCTCCACTTCAGCTGGTCTCCTTCCCAATTTGGCCGTACACGAGGGCATCATGCAGGATCGCTTCACAGCAGAGCATGTCATCATTTCGGCACCAAAGAACGCCAAGCCCACGTGCGAGCTGCAGCTGCCGTCGATGAAGAAGCTGATGTCGAACTCATCCTCGCAGCCGTTCTTCCTGCGCACATTGAAGATCTTCATGCAGGTGCGGGACATGTACGAGAACCAGACGGTGGCCTCTGACGATGAGGAGGACTTTATTGACATCCTAGGCGATGGTGGGGCCACCAGTGGCAGCAGTTCGGATGCCTCACGCTTCCGTGCGCGAATGGAGACGTATCAACCCACGGATGGCACCCTCGATGGGGATGCTGACGGTGACGGAGATGGCGATGGTGATGGCGATGACGAGGATGATGAAGAGGCCATGCCAATGGGTGGATCGAGCGGCAGTTCCATCGGCGGCGTCGCTTGTGCCAGCGGCAAAGACAGCAGCAAGCCCGGTAAGCCCACGCTCAGCCAGATCCTGTGCCTCGATGTCCTGTGGAACACGCTGAGCGAGTGCCTGGTGGCATTGGAGGAGTCCAAGGATGAGTTTGCCGTCCTCGTGCTGCAGCCCACAGTTGAGGCCTTCTTCCTGATCCATGCCTCACATCGCATACCCAAGAAGGGAACACGCGGCAGGGCCGCGTCAAGCCGCGCATCGGCCGCCAATACGTCTGCATCATCGGTGCAGGATATCTCACCACTGATGGACGAGGGAAGCGGCAGTGGCAGCACCGCTTTTAGCTCGGATGATGCCCAGGATGCCAGCAATACGTCCATCGGCAATGGCAATGGAAATTCCAATGCTGGAGCCGCAACTGCAATCGGTTCCGGTTTGAGTGCCCACGAGGCACAGCTGAAGCAGGATCGCCACAAGTTCCTTCAGTTCGCTGAGAAGCATCGAACTGTGCTCAATCAGATCCTGCGCCAGTCCCCCACCCACCTCTCGGACGGTCCCTTTGCCGTGCTCGTCGACCACACACGCATCCTGGACTTTGATGTGAAGCGCAAGTACTTCCAGACCGAATTGGAGCGCCTCGACGAGGGCATTCGCCGCGAAGAGCACACGGTTAGCGTACGTCGTGTCACCGTCTTTGAGGATTCATTCCGCGTCCTCTACCGTCTGGGACCCGAAGAGTGGAAGAATCGTTTCTACATTGTCTTTGAAGGTAAGCTAAGTCGATGCACTATAATAAGCTTTACTAATAGATCGTTCTAACTTTAATAGATGAGGAGGGTCAGGACGCTGGCGGCCTGCTACGTGAATGGTATGTGATCATATCCCGCGAGATCTTCAATCCGATGTATGCCTTGTTCTGCGTATCGCCGGGCGATCGTGTCACCTACATGATAAATCCCTCCAGCCATGCCAATCCCAATCATTTGAGCTACTTTAAGTTTGTCGGACGTGTGATTGGTAAGCCACAAAGGACACAGCAGCAGCAGCCGTCTGGTCTTTAATCTTAATTATCTGCTTATAGCCAAGGCTGTTCACGACAACAAGCTGCTGGAATGTTACTTTACGCGCTCCTTCTACAAGCACATCCTTGGCAAGCAGGTGAAGCATACGGATATGGAATCGCAGGACTATGAATTCTACAAGGGCCTCGACTATCTCATGAAGAACGACATCTCCAATTTGGGCTACGAACTGACCTTCTCCACCGAAGTGCAGGAGTTTGGCGTCACCCAGATCCGTGATCTCAAGCCAAATGGACGCGACACACCCGTCACCGAGGAGAACAAATTCGAGTATGTTCAGCTGGTGTGCCAATTAAAGATGAGCGGCTCGATACGTCAGCAGTGAGTACACAAGATGATCCACTCTCTCTTTCTCAGGAGAATAAGAAAAATGCATTTATATTTAATGTTCTTTATCCATCCAACAGATTGGATGCATTCCTCGAGGGCTTCTACGATATAATTCCAAAGCATTTAATCTCGATTTTCAACGAACAGGAACTGGAACTTCTCATATCCGGTCTGCCAGATATTGATATAGAAGATCTGAAGGCCAATACCGAATACCACAAGTACACGTCGAAATCGGCACAGGTAAAAGATTCATCTCCTTTCTCTTTTTCTTTTTCACCATCTCCATCTTGCATCTTATGTATTTATTTCTCTCACTCTCTGTCCCTTTCAGATCCAATGGTTCTGGCGCGCGTTGCGCAGCTTCGACCAAGCGGATAGGGCAAAATTCTTGCAATTTGTCACCGGCACCTCAAAGGTGCCACTGCAGGGCTTTGGCTCATTGGAGGGCATGAACGGCATACAAAAGTTCCAAATCCATCGCGACGATCGTTCCACAGATCGCCTGCCATGTGCCCACACATGGTAAGTTCCAATAACTAAAAGAAAATAAAGAAATTTCCTCCCATATATCTTTCGATTTCTCTTACTAATCAATGTTTATCCACTTATCTCTTTTAGCTTCAACCAACTGGATTTGCCGATGTACAAGTCATACGATAAATTGCGCAGCTGCCTGCTGAAGGCCATTCACGAGTGTTCCGAGGGCTTTGGCTTCGCCTAAGCGCAAACCCTCCAATCCCACACACCCACAACACACCATTCGTTGATTCCTAGACGACGACGACATGTAGCGCTGCGCCTACGAAAACGAAATTTGTTTAAATTTAAGTACAACCGCCCCAACCCTTCCCCTCCCCCACCCACATTATATATTTTCGAGATGAGAGAGAACAGAACAGCCACTGCAGATATGAGAGTGTGCAAGCGCAAGGCAGCAAATAAAGAAAGAAAGAAACGAGAAAAAAGCAGCAACAGCAAGCTGCGGCAAGCAGCAGCAAAATGCATAAACATACAATACATATAGTTAAATAGTATATATAAAAAATGTTGAATTAATTATTAATTTTCGCGCCTACATATATATATACAATATATATTTTCATAAATTTTCAAAAATGGAAAAAGAAAGACCGCGAAAAAAAAACAAATCTAGAAAGTGTAGAGAGAGATAGATTCCCAAAACAAAACAAAAACCACACGAAAGAAAGAAGAAAATTACATACAGCACACACAACAGAATAGAGGAAAAACTGTAAAGGAAAAATGATCTAAATTTATTATGCGTAAATCATTTAAAATATACAATTTTCGTTTCTTTGTCTATTCAAACATTTCCCATTACACACAAGATAACAATAAAAAATACAAAACAATATAATTTCGTTATAATTTGTTTCATTTATTATATTATAGAGAAAAGTGATGAGAAGAGATGAAAGAAGAGGCCCCTAGTATATTCAATAGTCTATAGGAAATTCACAGTATACGCCTTTGGTTTCTAGTTTATCTGTAACGAATCCGAACAGAAGACACAGCATGACGACGAGGCGAGAACTATGAAGGAGGAGGAGAAGGCAAATTTAAAAATGGATTCAAATATCTCGATGTTACATATATAAGTCTATGTGTTATGCATTTTATTTTTGTGCAGTGAGCCGTAATTGTAACTCACAGAGGGTGGATACAAGAAGTAAGCTCATTTATCGTAATAAATTTCAAAGAAATCTCAAATATTTGTTGCATCAACTGAATTCCTAGCTGAAAGATAATTTTTCAGCCATCATGGGCAGGAAATGTTGAAAATCTCACACTCCAATCAATGCAAACGCAAGTCAATAGTAATATGTGCAAACAAAATATATGAATAAGTTGCATGAGCATGTCATTCCAAGATAAAGTTTTTACTAATGTTTATAGGGTATACAAGGCTGGTAATATTAAGCAGAATATCACCATCGAGTAAAATTGTAGAGGCCCTACGGTATATTTACGGTATATTTTGAAAGTGAAAAGGAATATTTCGGAGGATCAGACGGTATCGATAAATCCGCGGTCACACTGGTTGGCATCGCCAAAATAAAAACAACATTTGTGGCTTGTAGGGGACTCCAAAAAAAAGGGCGTGTGGACTGGGAATGGATGCGTTTATTAGAAAGGAGCTGATCATCAATGCTGGTACAAGCCTCGAAAATGTCGCACCGCACTGCATCAAACTGCTGGCCTGGCTGCTGGACTGCCAGGTGGAGATCCAAACACAACAGAAGCTCCTTAAGCTGACGCCAAATCTAATCGAATCGATGATGAAGGCCACCATGTACCTGTTCGAGTGCCACGAACGCTTCGGCGAGGCTCTGGCGGAGCGCTGCAATTCACACAGTTTCTACGCCTCATCCTCCACACTGGCGGAACGCAAGCAGAGCATCAAGGAGCTGTGTGCCGGAATAGTAAAGACGAGAAAAGGCGAGGCACATGCAGCTTTGCTGCACATGATGCACAAGCCCTTTGCGGACGTGCAGCCGGCGTGGAACGTCATCAGGGAGCTGGATTGGGCAGCAATGCGCCAGCCGGCTGCATTCGACCCTTCGCAAATGCTGAGCACTGATCTCCTGCAAATGCGTCGCCTGGTGAAGCGCATCTGCCGTCTGTCCACGCTGCAGAAAATGGAAACCGCCCTGCACCGTGCCCTGGAGCTGGTCGGCTTCAGTGTGTGGCTGTGTCTGTTCCGCGAGCCTCGCCACAGCAACATCCACGCCGATTGCCACCTGCTGCGCCACATGATCTGTGATATGCTGGCCGAGGGCACTGGCCCCTGCTATCGTTTCCTGCACAACATGTACCTCTTTGTGGCGAACCCGGCCAACGAGTCGCGCTTCTGGGCGTGCCTGGACCATGCCCGTCTGCCTGGCAGCCTCATTGCCTACTTGATCGGCTACTGGAACATCCACATGCCGTACTTGGATCAGGACGACATGCAAATTACGGCCGATGCTCCACCCACCGTCAGCGTCTGCCCTCCGCTGCCCCTAGTTGAAGTGACATTTCTCACCCACCTCCTGCTGACGACCCGATCGCCCTGCCGCGAACAATTCTATCTGCAATTGCGACCCCTTGCCATGACCAGCCAGCTGATGGAGCTCTTAAATAAAGTTGCGTTTGTTTATAGTTAAGGATTCGGCTTTGGTTTATTGTGTTCGGGCAAAAATTCGCAGTTGCCGTCGATCATTTTGATCACCTTCTCGCCCTTTTCGGCTAGAATCTCCTCGATGTTACGCTTGCCGTTAAGATCCGTGAACCAATTCAGATTATCGGCTATCAGGTGATGATTGGCACAGCCCTCGCACGTCACAATAACGACGCCGCGCTGATAGGCCACCTTGGAAATGGTCTTCATGTTGCGCGTCTGGCAGATCTTGCAGGTGTAAATGAGTTGCATTTTCGTTTGCAGCTCGCCCAGGGGAATGCTGTTGGTAGCCGTGTTGTCTCCATCTTTCTGAATGATACCCTGCCAATGATATATGTAGATGAATAAATGGTGTATCCAAAGGGTCTGTATCTCTTTCACACTTACGACTGGTTTACTGCTGCTGTGGAATCGCGTGCCAGTGCACGTGCATCTATTGGTGCCGGTCCAGGCAGGAACAGCTGTTTTTGTGGATGCGAGTCTCGTGCTGGGAAGTTGCACTTTCAACTGCCTGTAAGTGCGTGACTCATTTGGTTTTATTCTGGTTACAGCTCGTAGCGAGCGCTGTCCCAAACCAGCAGAAAGTTTAAACAACTGCCTGAATGTGCTCATTTTGCCCAATATTATTATTATAAAGCGAGATGTGCGAAATACATTCTTTAGAGATGGAACTTTTCCACAGCTGTTACAACACCACCTAGTAATGGGAAGATACTTTTAAAGTCGTGACTGGCTTCAAATTACTGCAAAAATTAATTACGTATCGCGATATTGAAGTATGGTCGCATAATCATAGAATATTAGATAATTAATTTTAGTCAAATAAAGAATATTAGTAATTTTGTTTTGGACACGATACGACATGGCAGTGATGGGATACTTATCGGTAGCAACTATCGTTTCACGACTACAACAATCAATATCGAAATTTCTGTCAGCTCTACCAAAACAGTCGCAATCACATATTTTTCGAATAGCAAATCGTTGGAATTTTAGGAAGAAAAACAAATTATATAAAGCAAAGACGCAATGGCAACACGTGTGGTGGCAACTGCAACGGTGCGCGCCGTAAAGGGACGCAAATTGATACCCACACGAGCGGCCCTGACCCTGGTAAGAACCGATAGAAAGTGATGAAATACGCTCGTGATGCGTGCTGATGAAGTAACAGTCCGGCCAGCTGGCTATAATTTGTTGTTATTTAGCCATTTCTTATCGTTTCGCCTCTCCCTCCAGACCCCGGCTGCAGTGAACCGCATCAAAAGCCTGCTGCAGGACAAGCCAGACTTTGTAAGTGAATCGCAACAACGAAATCATGCCATCATCACTCAAAAGCCTTTCTTCTGCAGATTGGCCTAAAGGTTGGCGTGCGACAGCGCGGCTGCAACGGCCTCTCCTACACCCTGGACTATGCCAGCAGCAAAGGTAAGTCCCACAGCCCACAGCCACAGCACGAGCATGGAGGCGAACTAAGATTCTGTTCTGTTTCTGGGTTCTGTCAGCAGACAAACTGGACGAGGAGGTGGTCCAGGATGGCGTGAAGGTATTCATTGACAAGAAGGCGCAGCTCTCATTGCTAGGCAAGTGCTCTCCCACCACACACACATGTATCAATAAATGGTTATATAATCTCTCATTTCTGTATTCCTGCAGGCACTGAAATGGACTTTGTAGAATCGAAGCTGTCCAGCGAGTTTGTGTTCAACAATCCGAACATCAAGGGCACCTGCGGCTGCGGCGAGTCGTTCAGCATGTAAACTCTGGCTCTGGAGCCGGCAACACCCGCCTCGCAGACACCCTCCCCCCAAAGCTTATGCCTAACGAAGGTCAGATGCAGATCCAATCCCAGCATGCACCACCCCCAAAGCATCTTCGCTCATTTCTGTTCGCAGTAAACTTGACACTGTACACGAATTCTAAAGATAAGTTGTGTTCTCTGTAGTTCAAATTTAGTTGTATATTGATAAAAACAAAAAAAGAAGGATTAAGGCTCTAGGCAATCATCCAATGTCTAGGAAATTAAAATAATTCAATGTACACGTTAAGTATGTTCCGCTTTGGTTGCCCAGTTTGGCTGGCCTACATATGTATTTTGCACATTATTTCACTTGAACTCTTGAGATGAATAGACAAACAAGGAATGTTCTAGAACAAAGCTATTTCACGTAATTTAATTGCATTCGTTCATCGCTGGTTCATCCCATGGACGCCAAATTCCTCGTAGTCGTCGCGCGTGTAGACAAATTCTTCGAAATTGGGACTGGTGGCCACCTCCCTGCCGCCGTACCAGGCATAGCGAACTGGATCCTCGGGGCAGATGAGCGACACCTCCAGATCGTCGGGCACCAGGGCGCGCAAATCCTTCTTGAGTCGCGGCAGGAAGCCAGGAAACTGAGCACAGCCGCCCACAATCAGAATGTTGAGCAAGAGCTCGCGATGGGCCTGCCAGGGACAGGCCTTGAGGCAATCGGCCACTGCCTCCGGTATGCCCACCTGCTGAATGCCAATGTCCGATGGATTGAAGAGCAGCTCGGGCACGGTGAAGCGCTCGTTGCACAGCGGCACTATCTGCATTGTTTCCTCGTCCATGCGTGGCCGCCCCGGTATGCGGACATAGCCACGCTTGATGGTCGTAAAGTCGGGCAGGACATAGTCGACGGCCACCTCCTTGCGCTTCTTCTCGCACTGATGCACCCGCATGGCCTCCTTGAAGTCCTCGGCCACAAAGCAGACATCCTCCTTGATCTGGTTCACCACGTGGCTCTCGTCCATCATGTTCAGCTGCCTGTAGGAGATGAGTTCCTTCAGGTGATTAGTCAGCGCCTTGCCACCCATGTCGATGCGACGAATGCCCTCGAGCACTCGCCTGCCCAGCACAAAGGGCACAATGTGGGTGAAGCTGTAGCCCACATCAATGATAATGCAGTTGAGGGTCTGCATCGTGGTGCGCTCCTCGCTGTCGGCGACATAGTTGAAGGCAGCCAAATCGGCTGCCGTCGTCTTGTACATACCGGCCACATGATATTGCTCGAAGAGCATCTCCAGCATTGCCTCCTGCACGCTGGGAAAGTTCATCTGCGGCTCCGTTATGACTATGTTCCGATTGTCCAGGCTGCACCCAATGCCCTCCTTGCTGAAGATGTAGTCCCACACAGTCTTCTGGGTATCCCAGTTGAGCAGGTAGCCACGCTGAAATGCCAGGATGTAGAACAGAGCCGAGGTATCGCGGCAATCCTCAATCTGATTGCCCACAAACGCCCGCCGCCGCTCGCTCTTGGCCTTCATAACGCAATTCGGGACCACTCGCGGCTCCTCCTGATTGGCCAGGCCCACCTTGGCTGTGTGTGCTCCATTGTCGAGCACCACAACTGTGCTTGCCATAGCTCTATAACAACATTGTAGTTTTTTTTGTTGGTTTTCAATTGTTGATCGGTTCTTCTGTCCTGCAGTGTGACCGGGGAGATGTATCGATCAAATGTACAGCACCACCCTCAAAAATATATCGACATATACCTTGTATTTTAAAAATATACCGTAGAACATAATCTATTTGCTAGATTCAGCTGGTTGGGACTTTTTTGGAGTATGGACCGTTGGTCAACCATATCATCTTAATTTAATGTTAATATTCAGTCTTAAACTCTTCTTACAAACGTAACTTCTTGACCTTTCAGAGCATAACACAAAGCAAACACGAGAGCAACTACAATATGGGTTCTGTTCTGAGTGTGAGTGATACTTCTTCGTTTTTACCAAAAGGCGTGTTGGTCACACTCTCGTCAGTTTTGAACATCCAACAGCCTTACCAAGTATTTTAGAGAACTAGAGCAGCAAAAACTATTCGGACCCTTATTCAAAAGGCTCCAACTGCTTCGACGCCATGAAAAATTGTGCTGGAAGTAATGTTTTGGCCATTCAAGGCATGAACTGCGTGGTCATTGGAACGGATAATGCGGTCGACGGGAGTCTGTTCAGAGTGGCGGCAGTACGTGGCCGTCTTTATTGTGGGATCGAAGGTTTGCGACATACGAAATATTTGTAGTTATTGAAACCGGATGACCAAATTAACCCAGGAATAATTTTACAGGACCAGAATCTCATGTTAAGGCCGTGCGCAAAGAAATGGCCATCCGCGTGCAGCGGATTTCTGGACAGGTGACGCCAGAGGTGTATACAATGATTTTGTCCCGTTTCTTGCAAGTCAGCCCGGTACCCTACCAAGTGGACTGCATTGTGGCTGGCCTCCAACCCGTCACACGCCGTCCGTACATCGCCACCGTGGATATGCTTGGAATCACAAATTATATCGATGACTTTGTTGCAGTTGGAAAGCTCCGTCCACAGCTTCACGTCAATTGTGAGGCTCTGTATAAACGTGACATGAGTGTGGACGACGTATTGGAAACCATGGGCAATACCTTATTTGGCAATACCAACCCCGATGTAGTCAAAGAAGCCTTAATCTTTATTATAAGGCCAAGCTTGAATTTACAGGACACAGGCACGACGGCAAATCTGGAAAATTAATTAACGCCGTGTGATTTGAAGAGAAAGAGATGGCACAAACACATGACATATATTGTCATGCAAAATGTTCCTTATTAAATAGCCTTAATCCTAACCCTTTTGCTTTCAAAACAAAATAAAGTTAAAAACTTTTCACGTTTGCAAATTGCAAAACGTTGAAAAAAATGGCGGGCAGTACTGAGCAGTGTCCGATAGAGGGAATTTAACAAAGAATCGAACTATCGCACTGCCATATATCGATATAAACGAAAACCATGGTAGGTTGAGAAAAATGGTATACTCGAAAAAATTAAGAATAATGTTGCAAGGATTTGTAAAATAAATACATATGTGTCGCGAAAGCCGTCACCATAAATCAAGAGCGGCTTAGCGCACATAAATATCGATATTTGTTGCATCGATGGTGCAAATACGACAGTGGTTATTTATACTGTTATTTATACTTTATACTGTTTGGAGACGATGACAATGATTTTTCCATAATTTCTGATATCTCGCTTTGTGCAATTATCCGAATGACAAATTTAAGTTCTTCTGTTCTTTTGTTGCGCTCGCAACACATTTTTCTCTAATGTGTTGACATGTCTATACCTTATTTTGTCTATCTTCTTTAGTTAAAACTTCATATATATAAAATTCAAAGAAAATGATTATTGATAATAAGCTAAATTGATTCTTTAATGGGATAACATTATTTTTTTAGTGTTAAAAGTCTTTGCAAGCTAATAATGTTAAATAGAATATCAAAATAGAGGAATATGATGACTTGGATCGGTATATTTTGAAAATTGTCTGGTATATTTTATTCTATTTTTGAGGGTCAGAAGGTATATCTTATCAATTACTTTGTGGTCACACTGCAGTCTTACCTTTCTTTACCTTTGCTCTGCCGCCGCAGTCTTTAAAAACAATAACTAAACTTAGACTAGTAACAGCAACAATATGTGTGTTTCATGCTGGCGGATTGTCATTTTTTTGCGGTTTCACATGTTCTATCATACACTAATGCGGAAAATATAACGGTGTGTTAGAAGCGCGCGTTTGACGGGATTTTAGTGCCTGGGAGTTTCCCCCGCCGTCTGTTCCTGTTCTTTTTGTTTGTTTTTTTGGACAGTGAGCTTTTACCGTTAGCCGACAAATTCAATTCTAAGAAAAGGCAAAGGAAAAGCTGAGAAAATAAGTAAAATAAGTGTAAGTAAGAGAACGAGCAAGGAAAAAACAAATGTGAATAGTAAAACGGAATGAAGAACGATGTTTTGTCTACAATTTATATAAGCATAATAGCATAATTTACTATCCACACAAAAACACATACGCAAACACACACAATGAGAGAGAAACGCTCCTAAAACGACGAACAATAAAAAGTACTAATAAATACAATTTTACACATTCCATTTTCGATTCTGTTGTGTGTGAAAAACTATAAGATAGATAGAGAGAGAGAGAGAAAAAAACCAACGGCAAATAACAAAAATCATAGACTACGAAGCAGAAGACGAAAAGGCAGAGGAAGAAGCCGAGTAAAGATAAATACACAGCAATTTCAACTAAATAAAGGTATGTGCGACTTTATTATTATTAACTATACAAAACACACTCATACAGATGCAAATGTAAATATGTATATGTATTATGAAGACAGAGGTATGGAGAGTGCGAAAGAGATGGCAGTATATCATTATTAGTTTAACTCTTCAATTTATGATTGTTATTATTATGGCTTTGGCCTCTCTCACTCATTCACTCGCTCGCTCCTTGTGCCGCTCTCATTGCCACCCACCCCACCCTCCTCTTGGTCAACATTGTATGACATTCCGTTGCTCTGCTCTCTGTGTATGCTCTCTCTCCCTCTCTTTCCACCACTATCTGTCTCTGTCTTTGATAGTTCTTGTTGCTTTTTCTATTAACTACTCTGTATGTTCACTTGAGAGCACTAGAATAGTTACGTTAAATCAGTGCGTTAACTCTCTATGAAAGTGTGTGTGTGCAAGTGCATGCGTGTGCGTGTGTGAATGATTACGATTTTAATACTCTTTGAAGAGGCTACTATGATTTTCCACACTTTGGTTGGTAGTTACCAAACAAGTGGGATCGTTGAGAGAGTCGCTGCCATTGCCGCAAATCTACTTTTATACCCGGCACTCAGTGTCAGTGTATGTACATGTGAGCTTATGCTTTATGTTGGACTTTTAAATATTGTATCTGTTGCACAAGGCAGAATTGGTGATAGTGAGGGGTATTGGGTAGGATAGCCAAGGAAAATTAATTCTTAGTCCGTACATATCTTCAAAACTGTGTATGCCACAAAGTTTCGTTCTGTATGGAATCGGAGGAGAATTCGAGTACCGTGTAAACCCATGTAAGACAAAACTTAATTCTGCAGGGGTCTTAAACGTTTTGTTTACAAAACACGTCGTAGGCCCTCGAGTGTTCGGTAACATCAGCATGAATAATTTTATAATCAAGTTTCTAGATAGTGCATAAACAATTCTTGCAACTAAATTTTAATGCTTATAAATCTTCACATGTACATCTGTAAATCGTAAAATAGCTATCTTAGCGGAGAGGAGTGCATTTGTGCACAATGGTGAAAGTAAGACGGATTTTAAAATGATTTTTCCATTAAAAAGTAGCTTTTTCTTAGCCCTATTGCTGGTGCTAGTTTCGATTCTGGAAAACTATTCTATGCTAAGAACTCAAAACCTAAACTATTAAGAGCCATAAACATTCAGAATAGACGAGATTGTTCCATTTTCCAGATAGTTGAATATGTTAAAGACTTTGTGGAAGAAATTTTCGAAATCAAAATGTTTCTTATTGGATAAGCGTATAGTAAAAGAAAATCCCGAAACACTACACTTTTTCTTATTTGAAAAGTCGTTCACATTTAAGTTAACGAAATTATACAAACGTCAGTAGTGTCGTTCACATTTAAGTTAACGAAATTATACAAATGTCAGTAGTGTAAATTAGTTACCTAGTTCAGCTAAATTTGAACCAAATCGTATTGTATTGCTACAAAAGCTGCTCACCTAACAATATTAGTTTATTATCCGAATAGATTTCGGTTGAGCCAAGACAAGAGCAAAACAAATCAGGAACAGTCAATTCGATCCTTTAAAGCTGTATTTCACCAAGGGTATGTAAGGCATCGGTGCGATCTACATATCTTCGAAGATAGTCAGCGTTTCCTTCTTCTGGTTAAATGCCTACGAAAATGCTTAGGAAATACTCGTATAATAACATACATTTTTAAGCGCAATTGTAGCTGTAGTTGTGTGCTTTCGGGTGTTTATTGTTATTGTTCTTGCGTATTTGAACAACCTCTTGATAAAATAGAGAATAACAACAACCACATGGAATGTACAGTCGCTTAGGTTAAGTATACAATACATATAATACATGCATACATATGTATGTATGCATGCTTATATCTGTAAGTGGCTTTTTTCATGTGTTTGTGTTGTGTGTGCTTTGTACATTTGTACATAAATTGAATGAAGTGAAATTTTCTGTGGTATTGTTAGCGGAAATTTCTACACTTTGAAAATAGCTGGGAAATAAATTCGAGTAGAAACAAAGCAGCCACAAAAACCGTTACTGATCCACAGTTCGATAAGTTTTTCGATTTGACCGATATCTTTTAACTCGACTCCACTTATGCAACATGGGGGGGGGGGGCTGTCTATGTACCGACGAGGGGTCAGCATGTCCAGCAAAATTAATTATCTATAGATGAAAGATTTGCTGCTGAATGCTTTTCTCATTAGATACACTAAACACTTAACATTTGTTACGTACAGAGAAACAGCTCCGTTTTAAGCCAGATTCATTTTAAGCTACATGTAACAAAAACACGTACTTGTTACCTAATCCTTCAGTAAGATAAACAAAATACAGATTAACACCAGAAAACCAAGGGATGGTGTTTCGCAAAAAATAAAAATATTCTAAGTTCAGGGGCCACCAAATGTAGTGTAACAAGACAGCCAGACATATTACATAACGAAGTCAAATCTAATGAAATTATATGCACATATTAACTTGTGCTTGGAGATAAAAAGCATGTTGAATACCATATCTTGCCTTCAAATATGGATTTATCTATGTACAATGAATACATTCATGCTTGCTGCACTCTTCACTCCTGGAAACAGTGTAAATGATATTTTTTCAGTGATTTTTCAAGCAGTGCGGATAAGTGCTCGGGTGCCATGAAAGACCATCTGAAGACTTGATCCTGATACTGCTTGATCAACCACAGCAGTACGTCTGACACATTTATCGTACATAGAAATGTACATACAAATGTATGATCCTGATTCGGCTTGACTTTCTAGTACCGATTACCGGTTTTTCCCTCGAGGGAAACCCATTCCTATGGCTTTCCATTCCATCCCATTACTGATTCTGGTGTATCTAAAGGCTAAATACTCGTTTCGATAGAACCTCTGTGAGTGAATTCCCTTTTTCAGCATGCCTCCTGATCCTCCTGATCCTCCTGTTGATCCTCCACTCGCACTCTAGTTTTTGTGGCTGGCATTTGCAAAAACAAAAAAACCCCCAGACAGACGTCAACCCATGTTGGGCGCGCGCTGCACATATTTGTTAACATTACCAAATCACTCCCATTCCCCCGCCCCCGCACACACCATATCCCATTTCCAAGCCCTCGGATCCGATTCCGACTCCGATTCCTCCACCTCTGACTCAGAAACAACAGCAACAATGCAGGCACACACCTATTTATGTTCCCGCACACACAAACTTTATGGTAGAGAGAGAGAGCGGAGAGCGGATATGCATATGTAACTATGCGAGAGTATCATTAAATGCAGATCTCTATAAAAGCATAAAAATGGTAAAAAAAAAAAAGGAGCACAGCAAGTAAGCAGTAGAAAAAGCAGAGAAGTAACATTGTTGGTGTTTTGTGCTTTTGTGCGGTGCTTGCGTTCGAACCACAATGCTTGGTACATGTGCAGGCCGTCTCGAACACAATCTCACACAAGCACGCAAGCACACATCTATACTTGCATACATACGTATGTATGTGTGTATGCATTACAAAAGCCAAGCAACAAGCCATAATAATCTTCCCGTAATTTATAGTCCAAGACAATTTATGTAATTTACAAATACCAAAAACGAAAGAGACGGCAATGGAAGGCTAGCAAGCAGCAAACGACGAATGGGAGCCGAATAAGAGCGAATGCAACGCTGTTTGCTGCTGCTGGTGGCGCTGCTGCTGCAGCGCTGCCACTAGCGATAATAACAATAACGAAAAATGCAATAAAACGAGGGAAACAACAACGCAAGCGACACACGGCAATAGCAATAACAGCTACAACGTACTAAATAAACAATTCAACAAATTTGATCCGAGGCAAACACACACACACACGCAGATAAAAGTGCATATGAAGAGAGAAATATGTATGGGCATGTGTAAATATTTATGCATGTATGCGTGTGCAAGCAGAGGAAAAAAATGAATAAAAATACGACAACCGTAAGTGCAGCAACAGCAATAACAACTGCAGCCAGGCTTCAGCAGCGCTGCGACTGCATTAGCAACCTGCAAGCAGCGTGCAAACAAACGGCAAACAGCGACTGCTTGGTGGACTGCGCAGCGGCGGCGGCGCGTATACAGAAAATGTCGTTTCTTTCGTAGATTTTATTCGTTATTGTTATTGCTATTTTTGCTGTTGTTTGTGTTGTTTGCTTCTCAAGTTTTGTGAACGCATAAAATAACCACCAAGATATTGTTTGAAAGGTATGACTAATTGATACCCTATCTAATGTCGAAATGAGCTCATGTGAAATTTTAGCTCCTTACTTATCAAAGTTAGAAAAGCACAAAAACCACCCAACGTAAATAATAATTGTGTAACTCACTTTTAAGAAAAAAATCCAAGAATTGTCCATACCAAAAATTCGATCTTATAGATATTCATTTTATAGCGGCTGCAATGAGTGAGTGATTAATTTCAGTGGATGAAAAAAGATTAGAGATACATACACATGTGCCTATACACCCGCTGGTACCCCCCTATCAGAATCTTCTATAAAATACTCAAGAAAATGTAAAACTTGAACCCATAAACTCGCACACACACACGCTCGTACACGGACACCGCTGTAATTGCATTTATTGCACGTGCTCTCCCTTTCTCTCTCTTTCTGGCTCTTAGCTTCTCTCTTTGCTCTCTCCTTGGTCTTTCTGTCGTTCTCTATTTCTCTCAGTTGAGCCAAGAATGAAATGTAAAGCGCCACAAATATTTCTCAAGTTTTAAACTTTTCTATGCTGCAGTTCCTGTGGCTTCCGCCCCCTTTACCTCCAGCCGTAAGAAAAGCCTGAAACCCTCGGCTCCAGGGCCCACCCGCTCCCTTTTGCTATCAATCAAGCGGTGAGCTTTTGTGGTAAGAAAGAAAAAGAGAGGGAGAGAGATGAGCAGCTCTCTTTTTCAAGCAGAGTTCTATTTTTGCCAATGCGAGAGTGGGATGGGATGAAGAGAGAGACAGAGCAGAGTGCATCATGCTGCATATGAAACTTGTCT